AGTGATTTGAAAAATCAGTCTTTTCAACTGGGTGATGACTAGAAGTCAAAGTCACTTAATCTGAAAAACCAAATATCTGCTCTGAGGCCGCTGTGTAGGGGTGCATCTGGAGATTTGACTGGCGGCAGCAATAATAATGAAACAATGACCACTCGGATGAATTATAGTTCACAAAATACATTTCTATAGGCATTATATGACTTCTATAACTACTATTTATATTTGTAAAAAATTAATGTGATTATCAAAAGATCAAGTCATTTGCACACAGTAGGTGACTAGTTAAGTGGTCCACCTGGCACTGGGATCCATCCTGAAATGCTGAACTCTCCCAACCACACCCCACGTCAGGTGTTGGAGTACTTATCCCACCTACCTAGCGAAACTCAGCGCATGACTGTTTAGGGTAAGTGTAGGTTCCCTTGTAAATAATACATATCCAATTGATATCAGCAGTGCTTTTCGTGGCAACATTTCATAGCATAAATATAGGTGTCTCCTTTTTCACTCTAAATGGTATTGGCATATGACATTCATCCATTTGTGTAATTTAATGAGAACAGATGCCCATACCAATGCCACATGTTTTCCCCTGTTGCTGAAACAACTTTCCTCTGACTATAAAAATAATAGGAAAGGTATAAAGAAGAAAATAAAGATTACAATCTATGGCACAGTGGTAATAACTCTTCAACTATGGCTTAAGCGCCTTACAGATTTTAATCACATGTATGTTATTTTAAAGAGAAAACTGAATCATCTTACACAAACTGTTTTATTTTTCCGAATACTATATATATCATGAACATCTTTTTATGTTATTGGTATTTGGTGCTAGAAAATGTTGAAAAGAGTATATTTAACTTCATATTCCATTTTTACAGTGACATACATCTATTTGTAGTCAGTATTTTCTAGCAAATACATTTGCCCAAAGCCACAGCTTGTAGAGATATAGAAAAAAGAGGTCATAGAAAAAGGGTCAAGTGAGAGAGAGGCTTTGTATAATTTATTAATATGAGGACTGACATGTCATTTTTATTTTCATGCAGCATAAATTTCCTAGATACTGAACACTGTAGAACATTTTGCTAAATGTAACTTTTCACTGTCATGGTGGACTACCTAAAGAGAAAGAAGTTTTGATTATGCAGAAGTAGCTTGTTACACTTACTGATTAGTTATAATTTAGAAATGAAAAATTAATTTCTAAAAAATATTAGTGTGACTAAGAGGTTGAAAACACCCATCTATAGAAGGGATCTTTCTTCTGCAGTGTTGTCTGTAGCCACAGGGCAGCCCAAACCAGAAGCTCCACTGTTCCCCTAGCTAGCAGCCCATTCCCTAACTGTACTGAACCCAAAGAGGCAGTTGTGGTTAGGAATTTCACAAAACTATGGGATTGATGAAGATAAAAAAAAGAGAGAGGAGATGAAAAGGTGTCCCACAATAATACTTAATAAAAGTAAAGTTCAGATATTTATAAATTTTGCTTTGATAAATTGTTTCTCTTGCTAGTACGTTTATAGTATGTGCATGCTTGTGTATATATATATACATATATACATATATACATATATACATATATATACACACTCATATATATGGAGTATAAATGCATGTAGAGTACAAATGCAAAGGAATAAATTAAAAACTATTATTAAAATGTAATACATTTAAGACTTATTTTCTTTAAGCTATTTCTGTGATGCTTGTGTTCTTAAAGCTTTTGTGTTATTTTTTCACTTCTGGATGGAATATACAGCATGGTACATGTGTTCTTAAAACATTGGGTTGAATTTTAATCTAGTTTACATCAAATCTAATCTGTAGCATTTTAAATATTTTCTTCAAGTGGTGATTTTAGACTATATCTACTGCTACTATCCTTCATTTTTTTTATTAAGAATCAATTGTATATTCTATTGTAAGCAGGATAGACTGATGAATCTCAGAGGGAAGGGGGGAGGGGAAATGGGAAGAAATTAACCAAAGAATTTACATGCATATATGCATAACACTTGGATACAGACAATAGTGCAGTGAAGGCCTGAGATGGGAAGGGGCCAGGTGAAGGGGGCAAAGCTGGGAAAATGGGAGACATCTGTAATATTCTCAACAATAAATATTAAAGAAATCAATTGTAATTCACATAAGAATAAACTTACCTTCCAAATGGAAAGACACAAAAGTCAAGGAGACCACAGACAGAGGATTAGCCTCTATGAAATAAGTGCAATTCATGTTGTTGTCATATTGCTTCGGGTAATTTGGAGAAATAATGTAGCCTGAAGGTTTAGTGAAATTGCTTCCACATCCTATGTAGAAAAAAAAAGGCATTATCAGAATATACAGTATCTTTTTATCAGTGAAGAAAAAACTCAAATTTCCTAAATTGTATAGAGACATATTCCCTGAGGTACTCCAAGTGCAAGAAACAATAACTAAAAAAATGGAGTTCTCATTTAAAAATAAATAAATGAGAACATTACATATTTTTAGAAAATACTGCAGGGTTTTGGGCTAAGTAGTAGAAATTTTACCACAAATCTATTGAAAATCACTTAATTTTAAGATAGTAAAGAATAACTTCGAAAAGATTTAATATGGTTCATGTAGGTAAAGAAATAAGACTGATAAAAAGTGATTTGTACATGATTGGTACAGAAATATCTTATTATATTACTAGAAAACTATATTATTGCATTACCATTGTAATCTTTCCATAAAAATACCTGCTTTTATGCTGTTTTTTTTTAAGTTGAATGTACTAATCCCAACTAATAAAATTCTCACATGCATCCCTGGTGTCAGAAATAGAACTACCTTTTATCAGTAAAATGACATGTTTCCATATAGCCACTGGCTAGTTAATCCACATCACTTGCTAATCTATCATATAAAAAATATCAGTATCCCTTAAACTGATATTAAATCACACAGTTATGCACATACACACAGATGAGGAACGAGGTGAAGACCTAAGGTTAGATCTGTGGTTGTCTTTTATTACTTCCTTTACACCACCCTCATTCTTTTGTGTCTAAGCCATCCTTTTTCTGCATTATTTCCTCTAATTCCTTTCATCAGATTCTCCCCTAAACAGTAGTGTGCAGCTAGTATCTACTCAATTTGCTTCTGCCAACAGGTACACACCATTGGTTCCCAGGCTTAAAAACTGCTCCATTTCCCAGTAACCTAATTTGTAAGTAGTAATAAGAGAAGGAAGAAAAAAATTCTGAAGAACGTGGCTCTCAAGGTTCTTGACCATGAGAACCACCTGGGTGAGAGTTAAAATAGACCAGTCCCCACCCACGGAAATTCTGAATTCAGAGGGATCGGGTGAGACCTGAGAATCAGTTCATTTTTAAAGGCCCAGGTGACTTCAGAGCAGGCAGTCAATGTGTCACATGTCAGGGACCTGGTCGCCTACTAATTATCAGCCTTCTGAGCTCCTGCCAAATTCTCATACCCTCCAGATGTTAGTCTTCTTTGTGGATGTGTTAATGGCTCTCAGGCCTTTTACAGCATTTCTCGATTGACCTACCATTGAGTTCAGTTCCATTCTCACTGGTTTTTGAAGGATGGGGGAACTTTCAGGATGAGGTGACCAAGCCACACTGCTCCCCAGGGACCCCCAGTTCCAGCCAACCCGGTGCAGTCTCCCACTCTTCCCCAGGCCTGCCTGTGGCAGCCACACCCTTTTGAGGACTTCTCAGTTTGGTGTTCAGTGTTACTTACGGCTTACAAAGGAGGCAGAGAAGCCCGGGGCTGGGGCCTCCTGAGACTGGAACACGGCCGTGAATGCATTTCTTGGAGTGATGATGGCACCGGGAGCCACATTCCCACAGCTTGTGGCTAACAGGGCTTTGTCCATCTCCTCCGTTCCTGCCCACACCTAGCAAAGCCACAAACACAACTTAATGCTCAAGGTTTTCCTGTCAATATCTTAATGTGCCTATGCTGGAAAACAATGGCTCTAAGGTAGATATCGACCTAAACATAATACTATCGCAAATAAACTGCATGCAAATCTGAAATATTTGATTTTGAGAGCAATATTTTAAGCTGCATTTTAATAGCATATTTGATTTTTTACTCTTTCAAGAGTAGCTAGATAGTAATTTTTAAAAACTCAATCACTACTCAATTTCTTCTTGCCTTCTCCTAGTTGACCTGATCTAGGTAGCTGAGCTAGGTGGAGAGAGAGAAAGAGAGAGAGAGAGAGAGAGAGAGAGAGAGAGACAGAGAGAGAGAGAACAGTAATGTGCACTACTATGTCAATAGATGAGTGGATAAAAAAGTGGATATAAAAGGCTAATATGCAAATTGTCCCCACAGGTGAGAGTTCGACTGACCAGTAGTTAGACGTGCACTGACCACCAGGGGGCAGCATGGAATGTGGTGGGTGTCGGTGACATGGTGCTGGCAGCGGGCAGCAGTGAAGGTGCTGCTGGCCCCAATGGGCCCTGACAAGAGTGGGACCATGACGGGATGGTGGAGCAGGTGAGTGGGCGGTGCCAGGCCAAGGTGGGTGGAAGCAGGGGCCCCGATTGCTACACTGGTTGCCCCATAGATCAGCTCTTATCACCAGCCAGGCCTTGGGACCCTATCCATGCATGAATTTTATGCACCAGGCCTCTAGTATATATATATAATACAGTATTACTTGGGTATATGCCCGTGTGGTAAGCTCAATCCCAAGTAGGGAGGTGCAGGAGGCAGCAGATCGATGTTCTGCTCTCACATCAATGTTTTTGTTTCTCTCCCTCTTCCATCCTCTCTCTCTCTCTAAAAATCAATTTAAAAAATGAACAAACAAAATTGAAACAGACTGATAAATATAGAGAACAGACTGATGGTTGCCAGAGGGATTGGGGACTGGGTAAAAAATGTGAAGGGATTTAGAAGTACATACAGACTGGTAGTTACAAAATAGTCATGGGGTGAAAAATACAACATAGGGAATATACTCAATAATATTCTAATAACTATGTATGGTGTCAGGTGGGTACTGGAAATACCAGAATGCTTTAAAAAGTATATGATTGTCTAACTACTATACTGTACACAAATAATACAAAATAATATTAAATGTAAATTATATTTTAAAATTTTTAAAAATGTGTCAGGAAAGAAATGCACACTAACATTTTCCCTAATATCCCTTTTAATATTTTTTAATTTTCCCCTTTAATTATCCAGGGAAACAGTCTACAGAAGTTTACTCTCTATATTTTGTAAAATTATAAACATGATTTACTAACACATATACTACTTTTACAAACATTATTAAAAGGCAAAGTGATAGGAACTAACTTTTAATAAGGAAGTTCTTTCATGAAGAATTTTAAGAATACTCATGTGCTTATACCTTTCTGAAGTCATTAATTATGGATCTGACAGCTGCACCTTTGGTCCAAGACCACAAATGTTGTAATGATAATAATGGTAAAGAGTTATTAAGTATTCATTTCTGCCTTTTCAGTCAAGAATTCATGTCATTGGCTAAATGACCCAGGACTCATCAACCTATATTAGATCTACAAAATGCTATGATTTTGTCATCCGGTCAAAAACTTTTTGACTTAAGTCCTGCTCGCTCCAGCTCTGACAGCTGAAAGCAGGTTTCTGGGGTTTGTTTAGGTTCTATAATTGCAACATTGTTTCTTAGACTGCAGCTGAGAGCCCAGCAGCGGCAGGCGGGGAACCTTGGCTTCCTCCATCACTGGAGCAAGCAAGCCTCCTGTTCACTTCAGCTGCCTGGCTGCCGCCATCTTGTTTGGCAGTTAATTTGCGTATCTTGCTGATTAGCCAATGGGAAGGGTAGTGAAGTTACGGTTAATTACCATGTTTCTCTATTATTAGATAGGAAAAGGTCTGTGCCACCACTTTCAACAGCTCCAACACCATGAGGATCCCTACAGTTGCCCTTTTACCAGTTTAACCTCACAATTGACATCTACACCCCTCCTCTCTGATCTCTGGCTTTCTGTCCTCCATTCTCAAAATATTGCCATTTCCAAAACATTATATAATGGAACAATAGATTATGTAACCTTTTGAGATTGTTTTTATTTTTTTTCACTTGGCAAAACTCCCTGGTGATTTGTCTAAATTGTTAGTCTGTCAATAGTCTGTTTTTATAGAGGATTGTATTCCATGGTGTGTATGTACTAAAGTTCATTTAACCATTCAACTGTTGAAGGACACTTGCACTGATTCTAGTTTGGGGCTATTACAAATAAAGCTTCTGTGAACATTGATATACAGGTTTTTGTGTAAATACAGTTTGCATTACTCTGGCATAAATGCCCAAAGTGAAATTGCTAGATCTTACGGTAAGTGTAGGTTTAGATGCATAAGAAACTGCCAAACTATTTTTCAGAGTGAGTGTCCCACCAGCAATGGATAAGTGACACAGCTTTCCACTCCTTGGCAGGATTTGGTGTTTGTCACTGTTTTTAATTTTAGCCATTTTGAGAGGTGAATAGCAATATCTGATTGTGGCTTTAATTTGCATTTTCCCTAGCAGCTAGTGATGTTGAACATCTTTCTATGTGTTTATTTATCATGTATATATTGTCTTTGGTGAAATATCTGTTCATATCTTTTCCCCATATGCTAGTTGAAATTTTGCATTTTTATTGTTGGGTTTGAGAGTTGTGTGTATTTTCTAAATAGTAGTCTGTTGCCAGATACACGGCTTGTGAATCTTTTCTCCCAGCCTGTGGCCTGTCTTTTCATCCTCTGCACAGAGGCATTCACAAGCAACACATTTTTACTTTTGATGAGATAAAATTATTAATTACCTTTTTATGAATCATTCTGTTTATATTTAGTCTAGGAGCTTTTCACCTACCTCTAGATCCTGAAGATCTGCTATTTTTCCCATGAAAGTTTATAGCTATATATTTTACAGCTATATAGTCACTGGCCTTTGGGGCAGGTATACAAGTCTATGGTCTATTTTGAGTAAATTTTTGTATACGGTGTGAGGTTTAAGTTTGCTTGCTATAGGTGGGTTATTCTCGCTGGTTCTGCCTACCAATCTGTGCATCCCTTGTCAGAAACAAGAGTCTCAGGGCAGCAGGAGTAGGAGTGCTTCCCCAGGCCACTCAGTTGGGCAGGGCTCTGACTTGCCCCTGCCCCTGGTGGTGCTGGCTTGGTCTGCTGTCACAGGGACTCCCAGTCTGTCCAGAGGAAAAATGGGCCTCGGCAATTTTTGAGATCCATTTTTATAACTAAAGAACTTTCCAGTCTTACATCTATGCATTTCAGGGGTGGGCAAACTTTTTGACTCGAGGGCCACAATGGGTTCTTAAACTGGACCGGAGGGCCGGAACAAAAGCATGGATGGAGTGTTTGTGTGAACTAATATAAATTCAAAGTAAACATCATTACATAAAAGGGTACGGTCTTTTTTTTTTTAGTTTTATTCATTTCAAAAGGCCCGGATCCGGCCCCCAGGCCGTAGTTTGCCCCCGACTGCTCTATCCATTGAGCCAAACCCGTTAGCGCGAGAATGATGATTTTTAAAAAGGGAACATCCCCAGAGGAAGCTCATCTGGAGACCGACTGAACGTATGTTTGCCAACCGTCCTTTCTCCATGATGAAATTCCACGAGAGCCCGAGCGACCCGATCCGTGGGGGACCCGCCCCCGCTCAGAATGGCTAATGTGAACTTAAGGCTGCTGTTCTTTCCACTAAAAGGCCTAGCCTGCCTATTAGAGACAAAACATATAAGATGCAAAAGTGCACAAATGGAATGAATTTTTAATACAGTCATCATAGTCAATGAAAAGTGCCACATGAGCAGTATGTGTAAGACAGCCTTATCGGCTGCCTCACTGTCATGATTTTACATGGGCCTGTCTCATGGTCTTTAAGTTACTTTGCTTATGTATTAGCAAACGAAAAGTCACATGGCAACATGAGTTATGGTTCAAAGCCTGTCTCATGGTCTTTTCAGCTTGTGGTCTCTTAAGGTCAAAGTGAAGGTTGCACTAGCCACCGCTCTAGGCTATGTAAATTTTATGGCATACTTTAAATGCTGTCTACAATGGAGCCTTACATTCACTTTGTCAGAGAGGGAGGGAGGGAGGGAGGGTGGGAGAGAGAGAGATCTAATAGTTGAGATTTCTCTCTTTTTAAAACATCTCCCCTGTTTTCATTGATTTTTAGAGTGAGAAGAAGGGAAATAGAGAAAAACATTGATGTGTGAGAGAAACATCCATCAACTGTCTCCCACATGTGCCCTGACCTGGGACCAAATCCCTAATATTTTGGTGTATAGGACGACACTCTAACCAACTGAGCCAGCCAGCCAGGGTGAGATTTCTTACTTTTTAATTCAAGAAATCTAAAGAGCAAAATTGCCCTTTCCTTGCTTTAAGAGGCAATGAGTCATTGCTATTCTAAATGCTTATATTCACAAAACCAGTTCTGCTTCAATTAAAGAAACAAACAAAATCTGGCCTCTGTCTTTAAATTCTACAGGAAGGAAGAACCATTCATGTTCATGAGAATTTAAAAAGTCCAGAAAATAATCTCTTTAAGTTACTTTGCTTATGTATTAGCAAATGAAAAGTCACATGGCAACATGAGTTATGGTTCAAAGTTTAATTCCTAATAGTTGAGATTTCTCACTTTTTAAAAAATCTCCCCGATTTTCATTGATTTTTAGAGAGAGAAGAAGGGAAATAGAGAAAAGCATTGATGTGTGAGAGAAACATCCATCAACTGCCTCACATATGTGCCCTGACCTGGGAACAAATCCCCAACCTTTTGGTGTATAGGACGACACTCTAACCAACTGAGCCGTCCAGCCAGGGTGAGATTTCTTACTTTTTAATTTTAGAAATCTAAGGAGCAAAATTGTCCTTTCCTTGCTTTAAGAGGCAATGAGTCATTTCTATTCTAAATGTTTATATTCACAAAACCAGTTCTGCTTCAATTAAATAAACAAGCCCACTGACCTTCACAAAGCTGTAATGACACTGTCCATCACCACTGGGGATTAGGAAGTTATTGTCAAAGCTGATTTCCAAGTGATTACTTTCGTGAGTAATGACTGTCCAGGAACATCTGCTGTTCTCAGGAAAATTCTGAGGCCAGTGAGGGGATCTGATTGTACCGTTGTCTGAGTGAAGTATTCCACCACAGCCTTAAAAAGTGTCATGGAAAAAAGTCATTAATTTGTGAGGAAAATAACAGTTTTGATAAACCAAGACTTTCAGATAAATCACATTTCTAAATATGAGATTCAGCTCATCTTTCCTTTTTTATGAGTCATTGGCCTTTTGGGGCAGGTATACAAGAACACTCAATGAATGTAAGGTGCATTGAACCCACAGGAAGCATCAGCTATTGCTGTTTTGTTATACCCCTGTGAACTCAACTGAGAACTCTAATCCTCGTCATAAAGAGGATGGACTTCTATCCTGTCTTCAAATGATATCAGTATGCTTTACTCCTGTGAGGTTATATAACCATTGTGGCCCAGCAATCCCGAATTCTGTATTTTATTACCACTAACACACGAGAATACAAGTCTACCATCATTTGTAATTTAACTCTAACACACAGGACTAGAACAAATGATTTTGAGGAAGGGAAAATTATTCCATTAAGCACCATGATTCATTCATATTAAAGCACTGATGGATGATAATAAATTACATAGGTTGACATAAAGGAAAATCTAGAATTATTTTATACTATTGAAATACATACTCACTGGTAAGACATGACAAAAGAAAAAAGTAGGGACTCAAGACAAAATGAAGTTAAATTAAAGAGCATTCCCTGAATCTCCTGCTTTTAAACCCTTGGAAAATCAGTGGTTCATCTAAAACTCCCCTCTGACTTCAACAGTAACCAGTGGTTTAATGAGGGAAAATGTGGCTCATTCCATAAAGATCTTCATGATAACAGACTCTCCCGGAAAGAATTGCCCTGTGTGTGTGTGACCTTGCAGGCTTTAAAGCAATCCTGATTAAAGTCTCCAATGCAAGTTCTCATATTTTCTGGGAACTTCATATCTTACTAGAATATACACAAAAGTTACATCCTTTGAACTCAAATGTATGATTATTTGCCATGTACTACAGGCAGAGCATTCATTCTTAAATCACAAATCTTATCTTGTGATTTTGTTGCTCAGCACTCTTCAATTGCCTCCCCCCCACCCCCACCACCCCCCCGCTGCTTAAGGGGTAATATGGAAGCCCAGGCTCTTCATGAGGTAGACTCTTATCTTCCTGCCATCAGCTCACCACTCATCAGTCCTCCTCCAGGCTCCAAATATATTAAATTACATGTGATTCTGTGGCTATGGAGGTAGAATGGTGAAGTGTTAAGATCAAAGTTTCTGGGCTCCACTGTCTTTATTCAAATCCTGACTCCAGTGATTATTCGCTATATGACCTAGGCAAATGCTTAACCCATGTATCCTAGATTTCTGCCTGTGCAAAAGAGAAAAAAATATGTATTGGTATTGTGTCTTCCTTGCAGGGCTGCTTCATGATATGACGCATTTAGAATTTAGTCTTACAGAGAGTAGTTACAAAATATATACTTGTTGAATTCGTTATTAAATTTTTTAAATAACTCAATGAAAAAAGACAATAAGTGCAGAGAATGTTTCTTTTACCTAAAGTGTGCGCGCTCCACGTAGCATAAAATCCACCATTTTGCACCGAATGGTCTGAATTGAAAATCACCACCAGCTGGTTAGAGCCCGACCGGATTGGGCTGGGGCTTGACGTTCCACAGTAGTGTCCTATGATGGGCGATCCGGGAGAACCACCATTCCTGACAGTGACAGAGTCCCAAGCACAGGTGCTATGGCTTTCAATGTCAAAGTCACTAAACGTAAGCTGCAGAAGAGAGAAGCAATAATGAGGCACTCTTATTATTTTATAAGCAAGTTGTGAGTTTATCTACCTAGATTGGGGTAAGGACCCCCAAATAATTTTATTTTGTCTTAATTTATACAATTTAATATTTATGTCTCTTATTTAATTGTCCCCTGCCCTCCTCTCTTTTTCCTTATTGAAGTTTCTCTTGGCAATTGTGAGAGGGATATTTCTCTCCAAACTGGAGCACTAAGGACCTCCTTAGTGCCCTGGGCCAGGATGGCAAGCAGATCAAGAACATGAACACACAGCTGTCCAGGGGCGGAATTATCTCCTATGTAGACTTCTGCAATGCTGGAGAATGAGAGTTCATCTTCCATTAATTGTAACTTATAGATGTCAATATATAGATTCAAATGAGAGAATTTTAGGGAGAAAATGATCTGATTGCAAGATCAAAGCCTAATATTTACTTAGTAAAGGAACTCTGTTCCCACACAGGACATGATATTGTAGTTCTAATGGTCTCAGGAGTAATTTACTGAGGCTTCTGAACTCACAGTGATGGTGTCACCTTCTGGGACTTCCAACAACCAAGCACAGTGGGTCAAGCTGTCATACGAAGCTGGATAGTTGGGGCTTGCGATCACTCCACTCTCACCTGTTTGTATTCCACCGCAGTCTGAAATTAGATTTATGACATTCTAAATAAGATAGGAAAAAATACCTGCAAATCCAAGGTAAAGTAATACTTAAAACTGTCATATTTTATGATTTAAAAATACAATAAATGAATAAATATGTGAAATTGGGTAAAAGCAAAGTAAAACTGGGTTAAAGATTAGAAATACACAGAATGCCATATACAGAATCACATAGTGAAAACAGGCTCAAGTTTAGTATGAAGCAAAAAGAAGATAATCTGTACCATAAATGGAGAATAATTAGGTGTGTGTCTAACTGAGAGTAAATGTACTAGAGACAAAGTAAATAACATTGCCTTTCTGGACAAAACTAGGCCAGTGAAAAAAATATGATTAGTGCTATAATTAAAGACTTTGTCACCTGTTAATAAACATATATATATATATGTCTATAGTAAGCTTTCACAGTATACATTAGCATAACAATTTGAAGAACAGATACACTTAATAAGCATAGCATGGTATGATGTTTTATACAAATAATACTGCTTCCTGAAGTCTGACTTCTTTATTTTAATTTAATAAAGAAAAATAAACTGACAAAATGGTTGATTGAGTAATCAATCTCACTCCTCCCAATCAACCATGTGATTGTAACAAAAACGATGTTAGATAAAACCATAACCAAAACCTTTTGATTCATATCCAAACATAATGGAAAGAAAGAGGATCTCCCAAATCAGCAAACAATAAGTGTACTCAAATTCTGAGGGGTAATCTCAAACTGAAGTTGCATTAGTCTGAGAGACTGTAGGGCCAAGATATGGGCCACAGGGATAGGGGTCTAAGGTTTTGATGACCAGACAGCAAGAGAACACATTGCCTTGCACCTCGCAAAACCAAGGAATGGAGTTGAGAGTTTTACTTAAGTTGGGAACCTAAAAGAACTGCCATGTTGGTGAAAAGGAGCTAGAAAAACTTTAATGGTCCAAAGAAGCAACAGAAGTCCTGCCTGTATTGGGTGAAATTTTCAGGCATTAAAATGAATGTCACAGATACAGATACAACACAAAACATTAGCAAGTAATATCCAGTAATATGTTGAAAACATACACCATGACCATGTTGGATTTATTTCTGGATTGGGTTTATCCTACAAATCAAAGAATGGGTTTAACAAGAGAAAAAAATCTTTCAATATAATTTATTACATTAACATATTAAAGGGGAAAATAGGACCATCTCAATAGATGCAGAATTATTTGATAAAATCTTATATACTCATTCACAGAAAAAAAAGAGCAAACAACTTTTCATATACTAAGAATTTAAAAAACTTACTTTATTCTGACAAGGAGTATTTATTGAAAACCCAAGAACAACCAATATATTTAACAATGAAATATCATAGGCACTGACATTAGGGTAAAAAAAAAAAGATGCTATCATCTCTTCCATTCAAAATTATGATAATGGCTTAGCTAATGAAATAATATAAGAAAAAGAAATAAAATATTGGGGCTGAAAATAAAGCACTATTAGTTGCAGAAAATATGATGATTTACACAGAAAAAAACAGAAAATTATAGACAAAATACTAAAACTAATAAGCGTATAGCAAGATCTCTGTGCTAAAGATCAATGTAAAAAAATTAAAAATTCCTAGATATCAACAACAACCAAACAGAAAATGTAATTTAGAATGTCTTATTGACATTGGCAACAAAACTAATAGCAACTTAGAAATAAATCTAACAAAATATATATGTGATCTTTACAGAAACTATTATAAAAATTTTATCTATTATTTTATTGCCAGAGTTTGAGAGCTTAATCAGAAGTCTTACCTGTAAAGAAATACTCTGCATGGAATCCAGTATGTTCAACACGTTCATTGGTGACAAAGTGTATCCATACCTGAGAATAAGGTATAACCAATGGCACTGTAGATGCTACAGGTCCACAAAGTCTCCATATCAGAGGCCCATCGGCATTACCTAAACAAAATATCACACCAAGTGCCATTATTCATATAGATTTTAAGTGAATTCAGTAAGAATCAATACTAACAACATTTCAAGGTATTCATGACACATGTTTAAATTATTTAATAGCAGACATTTCAAAAATTTCCTTTCCATCTTTGTCAACTTCAAAAGAAAGAGTCCCTCCAGCAGGGTAAAAAAAAAATATACACACACACACACACACACACACACATAATTGATTTCAGAGAGGAAGGGAGAGGGAGAGAGAGATAGAAACATCACTGATGAGAGAG